GGCGGGTAACCTGTGCCTTCCTTTTTTCAAATTCGTCAAACATTACCACTTATACATAGTTTGATTAGCATTAATAACGTCCTTTGAAATGGTGTTAACCTGTTAGGATAATTGTATACATAACAGGCTACCACATCGCCATGGAAATCTATCGTCAAAATGTTCCTGACAGAAGGATTATAGAGTTCAATTTCGATTATACTTTGAACATTTCATGTCAAAAATCACATATAAATCTACCTGACTAAAAAGTGTTAGCTAATACAGTTCCTTTGGGTTTGTGTTTGGTGGTTTCCTGTCTTGAATACTACGTGACCCGCAGTGGCTAATGATGTAAACAGGGACGGAAATGGAAATCGGGAAAATATGACCAGATCGCAACGTCGGAATCTTTGAAATCAATGCACATGACAACAGATTACACACTATCACTAGAACATTTACAGAATGATGTTCAAATGTACCTACTTTCTTGGTTACTGTCAAAGATATAGTAAATCCAAAATCCCCCAAACCGCTGAACACGATCGACGACATTTTGAAATATTCAAAATTAAAGCTGTCGACAACATAAAAGACATTTTCGTATTATTTCTGCTTCATGTGCATTTTTTACTGTTCTGTGTTTGTATAATCGTTATTAGAAATAAATGAAAATAAAACAATGTTGATTAGGATTCATAAAGATACGAGACTTATAACGCTGCACATTAAGCTGACACGCCGTGATATAACTGGAATACAGTTAAAAGCGGCGTTAAACCCGACTCACTCACTCACTCACGACTTTCAACATGAAAGGTTGTTTTCAAATCATGAGAAGAGAGTTACCTCACAGAAATCTTCGCATGAAGCAACATATGTTTGTACACCAATTTATGACTCCTTGCGACCCAAAGAAAACACTGTCCACTCAGTCTGAATAAGGTCATTTTCAGAATAGAGAACTGTTCACAATTTGTTTGGTGTTGGCAGAACAACAGATATATAGTAATTAGATCATCATCTGACGCTGGCATAAACATTCACATTACAACATTTACATACAGTGCAAATTTACATTAACATTTGCACCTGGTCCAGACATGTAAATTTGCTCCTGGTGCTAATATACATATGTGAGTAAATGCGTTCACATGACAAGTATACTTACGTATGTATATTAACACACGTACAAATATACACACACGTATAGAGGTGCATGTGTTCGGGGTATATGTCGTTCATTCGTCTGTATGCAAATTTCGTCGACGTTCAAATGGACATGCCCGCCATCGCCCAGTAGGAGTGTTTTCAGTGAATTGTTTACCCATGAGCCATGAGGAATACCTTTGGTGCCAGAGACGTAAAAATATGCCATGCACACTGACAGGGGCATTTTCTTTGCAGATTACCTGAGATGATTTTAATTAAGCACGGCTTATAACTTTTATTATGAAATACGGTTTCGTTCATTTCTTTCTAAAAGTACATAATTTTAAATTTCATAGTTAAAGTTACACATTACAATTGATACAAGTATGTAGGCAATAAACCACAGATTTCAGAGATAAGATTTCATTCGTTTATTATAAATAGTTTTTTCATAAATATGCATTTACCGACATGATGCGCAAACGATAACGTTACAATTTCACTAATTTATGGACAAAATGGCGTCACACAAATTTGAACCACAGGACCATGTAACTACTACTAATAATAAACAACCTCACAAAAAACTCGTAGACGATGCCTCGTCTGCGAGGGTTGTTTTTGTTACTACTTGTTACATGGTCCTGTGTTTGAACAAATTTGTAACGATTTCACTGACTTATTCAAGGGAGATGTTTCATTTTCACCACGGTAATCGGGAAACAAACAAGCTTTCACATGTTTTTGCTTTTTACATTCATTGAGATTTTACAACCTGACGACGCACACTAAGTATCCAGTGCGCAATGTAAACAAAATAGCTCACAAGGACTTTTTGTAAAAGTTCGCATATTCAATATGTTTGCCAAGCTATTAGCCTTTGAAAATCACGTTAATACTTTACAATATGTACAGAGCCAGTTAGGGAAATAATAAACTTTAATAGAGCGAAATTTGAAAATTGTGGGTTTTACGTAGAAGGTAACACGGGTTTTCTCCCTTTACATGAAGAAATGCTAGCGTGCTTTCAAGCGTAATATGAGTCGTAAGGAATCAATATAATGTCAAAGTGGCAGATTTTGAATACTTAAGACAACCTTTTGTCGTTTAGATATTTAATTTAAACCTGTTGTTGGTGAAAATGGCTTTCCTCTGGCCATTTTAAGTCATTCATGTTTACGATGTTGTGAATTAATATATTTTCATGCACTCGACTTTCAAATTATATTCTGTTTATTCAGAGAAGATACAGTTTTGAAATGTTGAGTTGCTGAAAAGAACTGCATGGGTGTTACAGCTGGCTATCGTGAGTGAGTGAGTTGGGTTTAATGCCGCTTTGAACATCTTTGAAAGCCGATGTGCCCACGAACCCGGATACGGTGCAGACAAACCTGGGAACATTATCAGGGCGAACTGGGATTCGAACCTACAATCATAGGTTTCTGACCCGCCCAACGGATGCAACTCTGCACACCATATTGCTACATACGCCACGGCATTCGTGACTCATTCATGACAAAACTTGTGTCATTCCGGGACAAGACGTGCCCCTCTCGAAGGTTCCCTTATTGGCATATGAACTCGAGAACTACTTCAAACAAAAATAATATACGAGGGGCGTTCAATAAGTTTTGCAACTTCAATATAAGACCAAGTCGTAGAATATCTTTTGCACTTTTAATTTTCAATATAAAATCCATCCACCTCAAAACACTTATTCCATTTGTCCTTCAAGCTTTTAGTACCACTTTTCTAGAAATCCACAGATTGCTGCTCTAACCACGCCTGTGTGGCAGCCTTTATGTCCTCGTCATCCTGGAAGCGTCTTCCATGTTGAGCAGATTTCATTTGCCTGAACAGGAAAACGTCACTGGGGCTTAGTCAGGACCGTACAGTTAAATCACACCCGCTACAGCCCAGACTTAGCCCCCAGTGACTATTTCCTGTTCCGGCAAATGAAATCTGCCCTACGTGGAAGACGGTTTGACTATCTAGTTTCCCGTTCATTTAATTGACTAAGATTCTGTCAAAATTTCAAAATTTTATAACAACCTTCATAAAACAATCAATAAGAACATATTTTTAATACAAATGATAAAATAAACAAATACTTTAATGAGTCATATTTTTTAGTTTTTTTAGAAAAGTTCATGGGCGGCTGGAACAGTTGAAAAGTCCACGCACTCCTCTAATTATTCTGCTGAATAATGATGTCTTCTTAAGTTTTCGGTTTCTTTTGACCCAGTGTATGTCAAAAAGGTCTTCACTGGATAGTGAGGGGATGGAAATGACTCTGTGGCATCTATCGAGGTCCCCTTCCTCATCATCATCATCACAACTTGCCGTTGTAACAATGGCATGTTGGAGCATGGAGTCCTGAAGGAGAAATGAAAACATTCTATTTACTCGACTCTTGAAATAACTATTATCAAACAGTACAGCTAAAAGGAAATACACGTTTCCATTCACTATAACATTATTAGAGGGTTTGCTAAACACAAATATCTATGCTTTAAAATAGTTGACTTTCATTGTTTATTTCTTATCAAGAAGTAACTAGTATATACCTTGTATGTTTTAATGCGATTTCGGGGTCAAGGTCACTGTTGAGGACATGGTCCCATAAATCAATTAGATCGTCCCAGTCTGACGACTCTGTTGTGAACATGACTTCTTTCTTTGACAATGGCGTGACGTAGTCGATCAGATGACGATTACAATGACTTTACGCCTGACTGCAGCTGCCTTTGTGCAAGCAGTGTGGACGTTCGGGGAGACACCTAGAAATTATCTCTAGGTCCATTGTCTCATGTCGGAATGTTCAACCCTCTCGGTTATTTCTGTGAATTTTTACTGACAGCCTAGACTCACCCTAGGCACACACCCATAGCATCACCAAATATATCAATTTACAAAAAATAATAACTATAACTTTATCCACGGAGATATCCGAACGATATTGCGAATGCTTTGATAAACGGTGACATGTATCTGAATCACTGCCTATGCAAACCATCTTTCTTTCTTGTGATCGAATGTAAAACGAATGTGCAATTCTGCTCAAATTACAAGATTTTTGGCCATGATACCAGATGGAGTTATCCCCCCTTCAATTGTCTCGACGTCACTGACTCGTGAGGTGGATGTCACAGCAAAAAAGTTATCATGTTGCCGACGCTAAATAATTACAGCAATCCGTAGCAGAAAAATGAACAGTTCATAGCATCTTTAAATGGGTTAACTTGGAACTATTTTATAATTAAAGCAAAAACATGTTACAGATGAGTAAACGTCATTTTTAACAGGCATCTTTAAAATATATTTGATGTAGAACTTAACTTCTTTTGAGTAGTATATTCCGAAATATCTTGAGAAATAATGATAACATAAAGAGAACCACAATACTCCACGCCTTCAGTGGATGTCAGACCCGTTGATGAATTCTGAGATCGATGTATTGATTTAGATATGTTGAGCGTAAAATAGCTGCTTTTGTAATTTCGTGTAATTTCTGTGTGGGTTGTATTGAAAATAGTAGAAGTTAACTGAAATGGGATTTAAACCACGACTAATAAACGGGGGACATATGTGATTTTTCATCTAGTTACCGTATACGACGTAATAAGCGCCCACGGTGATATTTGCTAATATATTGGCTAGTGAACAATCTCCATTAGCACCCCTTCCGATCAATGTACACAAGACTTATTTTTTCGTGTATAATACGCACTCGTGTGTTATATGCACCCTAAATTATGGACCATTAAATCCTGGAAAAATATATTTGTCATATATAAACATTTCAGGTTGTGAGCATAAACCACAACATTTACGAACTTTCAACTCTTTTTTTTTTCTTCACCAAAATAATATTCCAATAAGAGCCCCCTATTTCTAATTTTGAGAGCGCCCTGGGCGTTTATTACGTCGAATACGGTAAGTGTAATCGTTGAGATACTTTGTACACTGTTCATCTGTGAGGGATATTACTTATTATGATTTTGACTTGAGGATATACTACATTTGGACAAATGGTATTTTTAAAGTAACGTTGTAGGCTCAATGACACCGAATATTATATTTATATTAAAGGATAAAGCGGTGGCAACAATTGGAATTAATATGTATGTTTTCTGGTACATCTTCGTCTAAAAACGACGTTACGTAACAACGGTAAAACCCACAATTGTCAAATTTCACACTATAACAGTACAACCCTTTCCCTAACTGTCTATGTAAATATTATAAAGCATTAACGTGATTACCAGTAGTTTATAGCTCAGCAAACGTTTTGAATATGCGACGTTTTGGTATAGATCCTTATAGCTTATTTTTTACTTAAGAAGTTTAAAATAAAAAATCGTTTTACAAATGTACATGTAACAAATCTGTAATTTTTGGTATATGTAATTTTCATATTGTTATTTACCATGTTTAATTCATTAGAACCTCCCATCAGTACAACATGAAATAAGTGCCATAATGAATGGTGTTCAAATACTTTTCATATGATATATCAGAATGGAGAAAGTAAAAAGGTAACATACCCATGAGAGTTTGCGAATGATCCATTCACAAGATCAAGAACCGGCCTGATCTTGTGGAGGGGGTCGTGATCTGGCTGCCCTCGGGGCACTGCAACAGAGTTGTCGTTGCAGTGGAGGAACCGCATGATTACTAAGAAGCGATTCCTCGGCATGATCCCCCAGAAGGAAGGTGTTGACGCCAGCCAGTTCTTGTCCCCCTCATTCAAGTAGGAAGCGATGGTTGGCTTCTTGACGACACCCATGGCCAACAAGAGTCCAAGAAATGCCTGCATTTCTACCCGGTCTACGGGTCTCCACGCCCGAGCCCTGCTCTGTGGTGATAGAGTGCGGCCCTGCAGGTACTGCTCAGCATACCTGTTTGTCTCCCTGACCAGCAGGTCGAACAAATCAACACCTCAATCCCCTCCTCTGAGTTGCTGGTCAAAATAGCATATGGGAGGGGCATGGTAATCTGAAACATATATCATAATTTATGACCACATGAATTATTATAAATCACGCTGACATATATCATTGTATTTGATACATGTACATGTAATGATAATCTTTATCATACAACTTATATCCACATTTATACCTAAACGAGACACCAAATATGAAACAATTCCTTACTTAGTTTTGGATGACAGGCGTTGTCTATGTTGATTATGAATTCATGCACTTAATGATATTTGTATTTATCAATTCTTGTTACCTGGAGGGTTGACATGGCCGCACTCCTCGGCAAAGTCAATGCTGTTGCCGAGGTCAAAGCTGTCCGTGTCCAGCACAGGCAGCCAGGGGCCACAGACCATTGGTTTGGCACCTGCCTCTTCTTCCCTCTCTTCCGGGTTATTTTCCTCGTGATCTGAAATTTGAAATAATGCTTCTTATTAATAATGTCCTTTTCAATCACATATAAAAGTGCTAAGGGAAAGGATTCCTTGTTAAAAGATAGATATGTGTAGTGTGTCCATGCATTCAAATAACAAAGGAGCATGGAAAAAGCATGTATGAATCATTCCACTTCACAGACCATATCCTGGACAGAGTATAACTGTATTATCAAAATTCAAATATCATGAAATTTAAAAGCTTTTCAAATAATTTTGAATAATGACATGGTTGAAAATTAAAGCATAAGAATTAAGAGGTTGCAGATAAATTAATGCAATCACAATAGTGAGGACATGGTTAGCTTTGTTTATTTGTTTGCCTCTTTAGTATTTTTTTATGTGATGCTTAACACCGAAATCAAAATGAAGGGTTGGGACTAAAATACTTTACAAGACAGGGTAAAATTCCATTGTACTGTTAAAACAATGGGAAGATTTGGAAATTTGTCTACGGATAAGTGAGCTGGTATTAATTTCCATGTCATTTTCCTGATTATATATTTGCAAAACAGTCTAATAGTTAAGGTATCATAAGGACTAGTAGACATTTGCCAATTTTATAGGGTTTTGTTATACTCATCATTATAATATATGGACTAGTGGACTAAAATGTTAGTTTCTATCGCTGAATTTGCAAATTTTCATGGATGTTTCTTATCATAATTGGAACTAAGCAACTGCTGACTCATGTTTTATTAGTGATCAAGGGGAGATAATGTGATTTGTTTATGTCCTATAATAACTCCCTTGGATACATACTTTTTGCAAATTGCTTCATGGAAGTTTGTCATTTCTCCAATGTATTTTATGTTTGTTATCAATCTTAAATTTTAATAAAGATAAAATATATCATATATATATATATATATATATATATACATATAGACCTATAGACATATATTTAGTTTATTGAAGGAACTGTTTCAGACCCTGTAGATCTAGTGAATATTTTACAACACAGTATCAATATTCATGTGGCAACTTTATTTTCGTCAAGACTAATATTTTGCTTGTAATTAATATGTATAACCTGTGACCTTTTTAGTTGGGTACAGATTAAACATGTTGAAAGACTTATTCTTCATTACTACTATATAAAGATAAGATTAGGATATATGTGCTCCACATGAATGTATTAATGAAAACTGAAGGGCTTCCTTGAGTAGTCACAGGGAAACAATTGTGTACTCATGATGCAAACATTTCCAGGGTGAGAATTAAAATCAAAAGCTTTACAATGATGCTAAATTTTCAACAAAAAATTGGCCATAGCTTCCGCGTCTCCGGGCTGCCTGCCCGGTGAGGGAACATTTGTTCAGTGCACTGACCCCCAAACCCATTGGCGCAAGGACAACAGTCACTTGGTGCAATGCAGCACCCCTTTCCCCTTAGTAAGTTATAGTAAATGTTAATCTACATCATTTAGATATATTTATAACATTTAACATTTAGAATTATGAAACATATTCATTTATTTTTAAAATTTCAAAATAAGTTAGACATTTTAGATTTTTTAGGAATGACTCATTATACTCATTTAAAATATGGCTTCATGTCCAAAGTGTGAACTAGTGTGTCCTTCAAGATAATTTTAATTTTTAACAAAGACATTTTTCCATTAATATTACTGAGCTTTACCAAAAGCATGTGTAGGCCACATGTAGACATGTTAAAACTTCACTACCATGAGAGCCTTTCTTTCAAATCAATTCTAAGTTTCATATTTCATGAAATACTCAACAAGGTAGTTTGCTGTTTCTACTATGACTATCATGGTATGGTAGATATTTTTAACATTTGAAACATCACAACTATCACGAGTAGATCTAGATCTAGCCTACAATTTCGAAAATTGCAAAAACATAACAAATTCTTATTCCCGCCATTGCTTTGACACTGACAGTACACCTACTCAATTTACTGAAAATGAATTAATGTTACTTACCGCTTATCTCTTCCTGGGAGTCGGAATCTAGAGAATCGACGGATATGTCCGACTCGAAGTCCGACTCCCCCAAATCATCGTCGTCGCCAACTCCCACCGCTGACATGATTCTTTTTTGGTGGACAGCTTCGATCGCAATGTTGTCGTCTGTCACATGGGGCTATTTTTATCCCTATGAATATTCATGCTCTCGGCGGGAGGCGAACGTTTTTATATATTTGATTTGTGTTCATCGCGCTGATTCGATAAACAAAGCACGAAGATAAAGATTAAAGCATATAATGTATAAATATTTACATTGGATGTCATATTTAATTAACACTGTTGGTGATTTCAACATCGAACTTTGTTTTGTTTTAATCGGGCACCTGTAACCTCTGTGACGTGGCATGTCAAAGATCGCGGGTCACGGTATTTCGTTCCAGACGAACAATCGGAAATTTGCCGCTCTTGCCAAACCCGTTATGGTGGATGATTGAAACCAAACTGTCGATAACCGTAACAGCTTCATTTGTATTCGTGAAATAAAAAAAAAATAGTCTTGCAATAATAATAATAAGGTATTTATCAATAACAAACCGTATGAATACAAAATTTACAAACTGAAATTAAACGATAGATCTTTAATAATTTAGTAATGAATTCTACTGTCAAAGAGCTAGCTATTTATATTTAGACATACGAACTCGTTCAGACCGAGGCAATAAATAGCTTCATCGGGGACCGGTATTCAAGTAATTTTAACTGACATTTACACGTTCAAACTTCAACATCATATAGTTCTTGTTTATATACTTATATAACCAATAAATTATAAATATATTCGACACTGCATAATATCCTATATGCCGTTGCTACCAACCTACTTTTCAACGTCTTTCAATAAATTGGCACGCCTCATTAAACATACGAAAACGTGACTTACATATAATCAGTCACAAAACATGAACAACACAGACCCAAAAGGGTGTGTCAACGTTTACCATGTGCGTTTTCGTTTCTTCTGGGAGACATGCTTTCGACTTTTTTTCTCTCATGAAAAGTACCGCTAAGCGACCTTCAACTTCGGTCGCCATTTTGTTTAAGTTTCGGCTAAAAAGTTGCGGTACCTTTTCTGTGTTTTTGCAGAATTTGAGGTTTAGAAAGCATGAATGGAATTTCTAAGTATACGCATGAATATGAGAAGTGGCACATTTTCACACAGACTGTTTTTTACAGATGTCAGTAGGTATGTATAACTGTATGAATGTTTTTGAATACGCTTTGATATGAATGTGATGAACGAGGCCTTGAACAAATACTGTAAAAAAAATATACACTCCATTCACCATCGATAAACTGGACATTTAGTTGGTTTCATTAGCTAATTAATACATATATGCGTAGATATTTGACCATTTTCAATCTTTTAACCAAAATATTTATGAAGGTTTCAAACATTCCTTCGCATGTGGATTTTCAATCAGTCGGTGCAAATTGTTCGAAATGAAAAATTATTTCAATGGCGGCAAATTTGAACGAAAGTGTAAACAAGGGGAATTTGACTAACTCCATATGCGTTATTTATTGACAGTAGAGTTGTGAAAATGAAACAGATGTGTTGGAAATTTACTGCTTTTTGCGATGTTGCAATTGCTATGGGCTTGGGGTAATCAAAAAATATTTTATTTCAATTCTTTTAACATGATGTTTCAGAAGGACATATATGTCCCTCTGGCACAGCACCTGCGTTTTGTGTAGGGACATATATGCCCAAATGGCATCCAGAGGGTTAACACTAACTGTGTATGAAATTGACGAGTATGTGACCTCATGAGACAGTCAGACAAAAAGCATCTGTACAGAAAAATGGTCATGTTTCTTACGACCTGGATGCCATAAGTCCCTCCTCTACAACCCTCACTTTGAAGTTGAATAAAATTCAAAATACATCACACACACATCATCACACACACAAATACACTTCACAGTTTTGAATAAGGTGGGAAATTCCCTGTTCTGTGATACACTGGAATTTTAGGCCAAGCAAAAGTACTCAAAATGACCCCTGAAAATGAGGTACATCGTTAAATGGCGACATTTTTTACACATTACTAAAACACCACTCACGGCGTTATTTTTACAGCATGTTTTGAAATCTAAATTTCGGATATTTACTCGGAGAAATGAATTTCAAAAATACCATATTAGTGATCCCGGGTATCTGACTTTTATCAGATCACCAATGATCATTCCAAAACGTCTGCGATAACCCTAGAATAGTTTCGAATGTTTTGGAAAATACGCAAACACGAACGCCGAAGTGAACTTTCCGCCATATTGAATAGTGTTCACAAAATCACGTTTCAGGTACACCGGTTTTTAGTCGCCTGTAACGTCAGGTATATTTCGAACTTAGCTGCAATACATACATCCTTGAATTCCTCATACATTTTAGAATCAAATGACCAATGGTCTTTGTCATCAAGACAAAGTGGCTAGATGAAATCAAGCAAGTTAGGTTTGAAAATGAACGCTGTGCTCGAAAAACTGCACTTGTTTGAAATGATAAACAAAGTAGCATTTTCTCCTATTTTGAGCAATCCATTCGTCTATTCGTTCAAGATATTGGCTCAACAATTTCAGAATATGCATGGGAAGGGAATCGTAGGAAGAATTAGGGATTTTAAAAAAAGATACATTGCAATGATTTGATATTTTCAACAGAAATTGTCAAAATTACCGTCCTGTGTGACGCCATGACTGACGCAAAATCACGCTCAACGACAACGGCATTTATCAGAATTTCTGACTATTTCCGTTGGTTTCAATGAAGAATCTAACAATAAATAAGAGTACATAGATTGTCAGAATGTTTCTGATTACTTACATGCCACATTTATGTATATACGATCCCTGAATCAACAAAAGTCCCCTCGTAAAATCCCGCGTACTGTTGACAGCGAACACGCCCTTTTGTAAAAGTCGGTCACCGATAGTGATGTCATACGTCAACATTGTTGTATATATTTGGTAATTTCTTTAAGGTGAAGGTCCTTGAGTGAGAGTGCACACGATCATTGTATCATGCTGTTTAAAGTTTCATTTATGATGTCGATTTTGCATTTCCTTTATACATTTTGTCACACAATTAATTTCACTTTGGATATTTGTCAATGTTCAAAATGATATACGTAAATATAGGCCACAACGTATGAACGAACCTTTGATCATCTCCTGTTTGTTTGAACATGGTTTACATAACAATTGATAGATTTATAGTGTCAAATACGATATTTCTTTCCTTTGGACAAGTGTTACTAGATGAAGTGTAAATGTAACTGCAGCATGTACATATTTCTTGGGATGTGTAATAGTCAATATTATATGTTCATATAATCAATGTCCATCAATAGCCGTTTCATTTTATTTTATAACTAAAACTGAATATATTACTTTAACAAAATGGATAATATTTTATGCTTTGGACAAGGTGTTATATTAGTCAGAGCATAAATATAATGCATATATATACATAACTGGCAAATATTTTTTATGAAAGTATTTCAATAATTGTTTTGGCCATGATTTTTCCTCAAACTTTGCAATACAGATGTTCATTCTAGCAATGTTTTGTTTTGTTTGTTTGTTTGTTGTTTAACGCCTCACTCAGCAATATTCCAGCTATATGACGGCAGTCTGTTAATAATCGAGTCTGGACCAGACAATCCATTGATTGACATCATGAGCATCGATCCACGCAATGGGGATCGATGACATGCATGAACCAAGTCAGCGAGCCTGACTACCCGATCCCTTTAGTCGCCTCTTACAAGTATAGTCACCTTTTACGGCAAGCATGGGTTGCTGAAGACCTATTCTAGCCCGGATCTTCACGGATACATTCAGCAATGAAGTTCACTGGAACGCTGTCTTAAATCCTTAAAAATACACCCAAGGTCAGTTTATTGTGTTTGATACTGTATATATATAAACTTCTTGACATGCATACAGGAAAAAAAGAGGTGTTTTCTATTCTCCGGTTTATTCTCACAGTAAGTACACAGAAATGAGAAACACATTTTAAAAAAATACGGATGGCCTAAATGTCATAGCCGGCCGAATTCAGCCAATCAATTAATATATTAAAGTCGTTTCTCAGCCACCCTAAGATTAGAACTATTATAATCTGACAAATGATACGGAAAGTAATCTGGCGTTTATGCAAGTAAGGGGACATAACTTGTGCTGTCTTAATTTGCATTGCGTGTATCTTATGAAGATGCCGACCACAACACGGAAAGTTCCTGCCTGTGACGAAAACAACATTCACTCACTCACTCACTGATGTAAACATAGATATTTTATGTGTGTTTGTTTAACTCCACCCATCACTTTCGATGAAATATGGAACACATATCTGGAGGAAATAATTTATGATGTGTACAATTCACATTGAAACACGTAATCTAATGATCGCCCTGTAGCCCCTAGTTGTGATATAAAGACATTAGTTCTTCCAGTAAGCGCAGTTAGTGTGTGCTGTGTGAATGAATGTTATGTTACGCCACACTCAGCAATATTCAAGTTGTATTACGGCGGTCTGTAAATAATCGAGTTTGGACCAGACAATCCATTGATAATAATGAGCAACGATCATGATACGCAAATCACCGGGCCTGACCATCCGATCCATTTAGTCGCTTCTTAGACCAACATAGGCGTGTAATTTAGATGAGCTGATCAATGACATATATTGTGTGTCAATTCAACAGTATCCAAATCAAGGTGAATCCGATCGACGCCGTCAAACAAATAGCATGACGTTTGGATGATTGTTGGCCTCCCCTACACATGGATCTGTTTTCAGTGAGTGAGTTGTGTTAAACGCCGCTTTTAACAGTATTCCAGTTATATCACGGCGTGTCAGTATAATGTGGGAGGAAAGCCCCAAGTGATGCAGGTCCTAGACGTTTACCGCTTCGGTGACACCCACGAGCAGGGGTATGGTGCTGACAAACTTAGAAACATTATCGGGGCGAACCCGGAATCGAATTCACATTCATAGGTTTCTGGCGTGCCCAAGGGAAGCAACTCTGCACAGCAAATTGCGGCGCCTAAGACGACTGGGCCACCCGTGCCCCCGGATCTGTTTTCACTATCCATTAAGGAAATGTGTACAGTTTGAATCAAATGGAATTTGATGTTCCCATACTTCGCTATAATGTATTGACATTGAAAGGGCCATGCTATATAAGTTTCGAAAAGTTTAAAGGCTTTAGATTAAAGTGAGGAAGTAAAGTTTAACGCCGCTTTTAACAGTATTCCAGTTATATCACGGCGTGTCAGTATAATGTGGGAGGAAAGCCCGAAGTGATGCAGATCTTAGATGTTTGCCACTTTGGTGAAACCCACGAGCACAGGTATGGCACTGACAACCTAGAAATATAACAGGGGCGAACCGGGATCAGCATCAACCCGGACTAGTACAAGCAGCCACACACACACATGCACGTCTCTATATGAGTGCAATAATATTGGACGCGAAGTTTTACTCCATTTCACCTCACCTCACCTTACTATAGCTTTTAGATGAACTTTCCAAATTTGGCATAAAATTTGGTCTGGTTGTACATGATTATATTTTGTCAACTAAGATATTTAACTAATTGCTTTTGTGTCCATTTATAGTTGTAAAATGTTCATTGCTTGTACTGCTCTACATCTTCCCGAGGCTAACCGACTTTCAAAAGTCCAGTTCCCACTTTTATAGTGAGTTAACTCCCTTGCCTCGGGAAGATGACTGATACACAAATCATCCTGTACTTTTTAAAAGGAAAGGATCTATTAAGCCCCTAGAGCTCTTTTTCCCAATCCTCTCGATTATCAATCAAATAAGTTTAGAACAATTGTTATGGTATTTGTTACACTGACTTCAACTACAATTCACTCTGGCAGAAACTATGAAAGTCAACAGCATGTTTCTCACGTCCTGCATTAATAGTGAATGAAGCGTCTCAAATATGTCATAATAGAAACGTGTACGACCACAGTAATTCGCGTTAGGTTGATTCATTCGCAGTCACACAGCTGTCATGGATACATACGCGCGGACAGACCATCTATTCACATCACGTACTTTTGTATATAGACATCACATATTCATTATATACCAGACACCGTATCACACATGGGTACCCACTGAACCCAACTCAACATATTGAAAGATTGCATGGCTGACAAAACGTTTCAAATAATAAACAAATGTTGGATTAACCCCTTGAGTTGCCGGTAGCTCTAGACGTGTCTCCGCTCGGTAAATATATTTGCTGTATGTTCGTTTCTTTCTCACTATAGCTGGATTTTTGTTATCTCTGATCGCAGGTCATATCTGGGCTAGTCGCAAGGCCCACGTCTACATTACTTGGGCACTATAGCTGTTTTTTTGTTATCTCTGATCGCAGGTCATATCTGGGCTAGTCGCAAGGCCCACGTCTACATTACTTGGGCACTATAGCTGGGTTTTTGTTATCTCTGATCGCAGGTCATATCTGGGCTAGTCGCAAGGCCCACGTCTACATTACTTGGGCACTATAGCTGGGTTTTTGTTATCTCTGATCGCAGGCCATATCTGGGCTAGTCGCAAGGCCCATGTCTACATTAATCGGGCATGTCTAGATGTCTTCAGTATCAGGATGCCTGAAAAGCCTCTACTCCTTTCTACTATGTATTTTAAAACTATTTGATAAAAGAAATCTTAAATATTTTCATTTCAACGAGTTTATGTTTTTCTAATAACTTACTTAGCGGAACACAAACAACGGGGCGGGTGTCTGTGTACATATGGGGTTAATCTACATGGGGCCGGCCACATCTCGTTCCCCTTGAATAAATGGTGTATTGACTGTATAGACAAGCTTTCTGAACCCTTTAAGTTTTCAAAATATACCGTCGACACACTGAAGAGTGAGAGGATGTTTCGTGACTAATATCAATACTCCAGCACGGCGAGGCACACCAAGAAACGGCAAATAAAATAGAAAGATCACAGGAGTTGACTTGGCGCCAAAAACGTAGCTTGCGGAGAGTACCTTATGGATATATTCTGTTGATATGTGGCCTGCAAACTCCTGACAACTTTTCTTCCGGCCTACTTTAGGTTCTACACAAAATTTAAGGACTTATTGCAGTATGACGGAACTGCAAACTCCCCACAGCAATCGCTGTTCCTTTTGTATACTAGACGTTTTATTAAGTTTTGAAATCTCTTCCATTCTTTGCCATGCGTCACGTTAAAGATCGCCTGTGTGGTCTAGAGGACGGAGCGTCTGCCCGGAGAGCGGAAGGTAGGTGGTTCGATTCCCCGCCTACGTGATACGAAAATACGTTAAAACATGGCATTTGTTGTTACCCTGACTGACGTTTGAAATCAAGAGGATAAAACAAGGATAAATCGTCTTTGAGTCAATATACTGTGTCGGAGTGTGGTGTTCATGTTAAACCAAGGCGTTTCCGCTCTCAGGGCAGACGCTCTATCCACTTGACCACGGAGGCGAACCGTGACGATCCAGGGAAGAATAGGTCTTCAGCAACCCATGCATGGCGTAAAAGGCGACTGTGGTTGTTGACCACAGGCTCGCTGACTTGGTTGAAGCATGTCATCGTATCCCAACTGTGTGGATCGATGTTCATGATGTCAATCACTGGATTGTCTGTTCAGACTCGATTATTTACAGACCGCCGTCATATTGCTGAGTGCGGCGATAAACAAACAAACAAACATTAACGGGATATGATATGTAGATCCAGGGCACCGAGCCTGGCCCCTGATTCTCTTTTGAAAAAGCCCTTACGCTAAGTAAGGCATACTGGGGATCTATTCTTCCGGGGACTCCTACGGGCCAACGCCTAAACCACTCTGCTACTTCACCAACCTTCCTTTGTCGTAAACTACAACAACACACATACATCTATATAAAATATGACTTTATTAAAAAAAGATGAAAGGTATATTCAATATTTAAGTATATATAAAAGACAATATCGTTTTATTCTATTTATCTGACAAGTACAAATGACAAACAACAAGAACATATTCTACAACATGGACACTCTGATCTCTACGACATATATACATAGGACATATTTGGTTTCAGTCTAGGCCTCGTATAGTATATAGTATATATACCACAATATAATGTACACCTCATACGATAAATACTGGAAGTGAATAGAATGTGAATATATTGTAGTGTTCGTTCTTCAAAACAGAACTTCACTTTGCATGTATGGTGTTTTGTGTATTGTGACATCCCTTGTCCATGAGAGTTCGTGTATGTTTTAGATGGAACCTCGGCCTGCAGGGAATTCACTGGGTACACGCGCCACCAATCTAGCTAAACAACAGTGTGAACATAGCTTGGAATCCATTTGTTATCCAAAGACTATGACGCCTACATCTACAGTGAACAAAAACGTTGGGGATCAGGAATATTTTCTGGGATATTTTCTGTAGCACAGACTGAGCAGACAATTTCATAGAAAAATATCCCTTTATTGTTTTTCAGTATACATGTATATGAAACACTGAATGGGGAGACGCAAACGTATCGGAAAATGAGATAGCAACATTGATCAAATCCAAATCATAGAACCTCCTCGACTTTATCGTGCCTCTCTCGTTCGATTTGTCAAGAATATATAATACACGGAACAAACGAGAGTTGAAGCATGCTGCTACACATGGTCATCGCCGTGATGATTACACATACTCGTTTCGAAAACGTAATTAATGACAACTGAAAACAATTTGCTAAAGTTACATTTAAATATTCTGTGAATGTCGAGTATGGTTTGGTTTACTAGCGTCTTGGTTATATTCCTCATGCATAAGATGATTGACTACAGAGGCTGATGAAGGGGTCGACACAAGGAAACACAACGAGGTCCATTGTACTGTAAACCAGTGTGCAAATTAACGATTAATTCACCATGAAAACCGTGGGCAACACATCAATAACTAGCATGGATCTACAATAGAAAAAACAAACATGAAAAGGTGCCATACAGGATTTCAGCATGGAAGCGCCATTACATTCAGCAACAACATTTTAGAATCTTCTTTCAGTTCCCTATCCACCCTTTGACTACAGCTCGATCCGCTTCCTGTAGAGTCTCCGTCTGTTGGTGTCTTAGAGGAGGGCCAGCGAGTACGGGGACGCTGACGCTGACGTTACAAACATATATAAACCTTACAAAAATTGGTAAAAAAACCCGCATTAAAGAAATGACGAAAACGTGGTAACGTCCCTTTCATTACAATTATGTATATACCTTACAAATAATATTGGTCCGAAAACGGGGTCCGGAATGTTACCGGATCCGCATTAACGAGGTTTCACTGTAAATGTTGTATTTCCTACCAGCATTAGTGCTTTAGTTGTGGTTCTGTCAACATCAACGTTCTCCATCCCATTATGTAACTTAAAATCTCTCTCAGTTACGTTCTTGTGTCTGATTTTATCCCACGAAAATGGATATTTTGAATGATATGTCCAGGAGACATGCCACCGTGCCATCCGTTCACTGCTACCCGCATGTTTGAGGTCGTCAGTACTGGTGCGGTCTGTATACGTATGCATTGGGATTGGACGGCAGGACTCGGCTTCCTCCAATCGGTGGCCGACCAATTCTTGAAGACTCATAGTAGTCGTCGTGACCGCGGTTTGTGGAATGGCTGTAGTCAGCTAGCGCCATCGGGCGGCCGTATCGGGAATCATCACGATCACCCCTGTTTACCTCCCCTTTCAAGTACGAAAATCCAGTTCCGGTGTAAATCGTGTGTCCCAGTTCCCTGTCTCGGTTGTCCTTGAATTGACTAGACGCAGGCTTGTAGAGGACAGCTGGTTCGGGCTCTGGTTGGTACCCTCTGTTCTCGTAATGACCGTTGTGCCTGGTTTCGTAGGGGTTCCGTGCTTCAGGGTAATATTGGCTGTTGTTTCTCCGGTCATCGAAATCCTCATAGCCTCTGATCATACCCCCATTGTGTATGGGTCGGTTGTCTTCGTTGTATCTCGACCTGTCGTCCATATACGGTGTCTGGTTGTAGTAGCGGTGGCCACCGGTGCCATTCTGCACGTGGGGGTGAAGGTTCATCTTAGATACATCACGTGATACGGGAAGAGACGCCCCGTCTACGTGTTCCGGTTTACACTTTAGTTTGATGAAGAGGCAGACTATGATGAGAATGAGGCAGGCAAGGAAACTCATCAACGCCGACCAAGGAATACTACTAGAGTCGAAAGATTCAACGAACAGGAAGAAATTGTAGTATTTGACGCCAAACAGTATTGCGCTGGCTAAGAGATCCAGAACTGTAACAGAAAGAATATACGTTAAAGTGATAGTTGGACATCATACATTCTAAACGCAACAACATTCTTGTCGCCATCTTTAACCAACGAATGGCGATGGCCTGGTTCCAGCAAGAGGGAAACCAACTTGTACCAATCAGCGCTCAGTTTACATAGGACAAAATAGCAAGGTTTCCCGCTCAGCATCGTGTGGCATAGCACTATTTGTTTGTTGTTTAACGCCGCACTCAGCAATATTCCAGTTATATAACGGCGGTCTGTAAATAATCGAGTCTGGATCAGACAATCCAGTGACTGACATCATGAACGTCCATCCACGCAATTGTGACACGAAGACATGCATGAACCAAATCAGCGAGCCTGACCACCCGATCCCGTTAGTCGCCTCTTACGACAGGCAGGGGCGGTCGGGTAGCCTAGTTGTTAGAGCGTTCGCTCGTCACGCCGAAAACCCGGGTTTAATTCCCGACATGGGTACAATGTGTGAAGCCCATTTCTGGTGTCCCCCGCCGTGATATTGCAGGAATATTGCTCAAACCGGCGTAAAACCATACTTACTCACTCACTCGTTCTTACGCCTTTTACAGCAAGCATGGGTTGCTGAAGACCAATTCTAACCCGGATTTTCACGGGGGCCAACATACTTGTACAAACGGTGAACGCGTACTCACTTGTAAAGATGCACAGGATGAAGGAGGCGAGGTTGGCGGTCTTCATGCTGCCCCACCTGCCGCTGTAGCCGATCTTGTAGACGATGAGGAAGACGGTAAGGGCCAGGATGCCGGCCAGGCCGACCGACTGCAGCACCCGCAGCACCAGGAACTCCACGTGACTGTCCTGGATTCCGTCTGCAACAACACCAACAACACATGTTATATATGTCGAACTGTATCATCTAAAATATACTACTCAACGTTAGTTCGGAACATGCCATTTACGCCACTATACACAGAATGCATTTGTCTGTTATTTTCTGCTTAACTCCGCACGTACGACGCACGTGAGTAGAATAGGTCTTCAGCAACCCATGCTTGCCGTAAAAGGCGACTATGCTTGTCGTAAAAGGCGACTTACGGGATCGGATGGTCAGGCTCGCTGACTTGGTTGATACATGTCATCGATTCCAATTGCGTGGATCGATGCTCATGATATTAATCACTGGACTGTCTGGTCCAAACTCGATTATTTACAGCTGGTATATTGTTGAGCGCGTCGTTAAACAACAAACAACCAACCAAACCAACGTACATGAACGATCATATTCAAAACTGACAAAAGCTTCATGCTACTGCTTGAATACTGATAGTTTCACACCTAGGAAACTTATGACCGATTCTCCGAATGATACAACTATATTCTACCGTTCTTTCCTGGAGATATATCCTGTCTTGAGTATCAAATATGTATGTATCACGATAATGCAACCAAACCTCTAGCAATACCTGTGTCACCATCCATATGGGCTCTGGTGTCCGGGTCCGTTAACTACGGATGGCTCTGGTTACCGGTTCGATGCGACAGAGATAGAACGACCGACACGTATACAACTTTAAAAAGGTCAGACTTGTGTATTATTTAAGTGATATGTCTGGAACGCCTAGCGTCTGTCATAGCGATGAATTACTTTGCATTTAGCATGTTTTTTCTTCAAATGTGTAGAATCTCGCTTAGGAATTTACCCATAAATTTATTATGGTCCAAATATTCCCCTAAATGTTGGACACAAAGTTCACCGGAACTACACAAAGATTATTATTTTTCTCAAGATTTTAAAACTTGGAAGAGCATGTCGTTCAGATATTCAGCTTACTACTACTACCGTTTTCCGTATGAGAGAGTAAATAGTCATTATCATTTATCATTACTCAGTCTCTGTATGTGTGTTAGTGTTAGAGTGTGTGTGTGTGTGGGGGGGGGGGGGGGGTAGTTAACGATTGCCCCAAGCCTCTAAGCTTCATGCATGATCCTAACCGCATAGTCTAAATCTTGACTGGAAATTGGCGCCAGGCTATATAGAGAGGATGGTGCCCCTTTACATGATGTAATACAGAGTACGGAGATTCGTTAAGGTGAAACGGGCGGTGGGGTACTTAGTGGTAAAGGCGTTCGCTCTCCAAATCGAAGGTTCCGGAAATATTACTGGAATTGCTAAAAACTTATTCATTTACTCACTCACTCGCTCAATAACGTAAAGGTGAAATGAAATGTGAAGACTGAAACGGCATATAACGGCCAATGTCACTTTTCATTTATTGACGTTATAGGCGAGTCATGTACATCTACATTTAATATCTGACTGAGCCCTGGAGCACAGGCTATGTTGCAGCTCACTGCACACCGGGGGCTAATGAGCCCAGTACCCCGTGGCACGGGATGGTGCCCCGCAACGTGACAGCTGGAGCAATCGCGCAGATCAGCACTGAGAAAGAGACATTACCCCCTTTCACCGTTACCATATTTTTTCAGACTCTCCTTTGTTAACTAATATGTATACAAGGGATTAAAGTTACAACATTCCACATAAACATCCAAATCATTGTTATAGCGACTTTATTATAGCAAACAGATATAATCTCTCCTTGGTTTTAATCCGGCAACATTCCGACGACGAAGCTAATCCTGTGCGGCCAGTCAAGCTGCGGAGATGGCTAACTCGCACATAGCTTATTTTGCGGTTCTGTGGAGCAAGCAGAGGCTTAGACATTATGTCATTTGTCAGGTAGGACATGACAACTATGTTTTTAATGTGTAACGATCCGATTACCTTATCAAATACATGGTACATGCTTATCTACACCGTACGCGCTTACCCACAACACAGACTGTAATAGGAAAATCATATTAAAAACTAAAGGAGCCATGCATTCAATAGAAAGGACCAGTCTTCTGAGGCACAGCCATTCGAGTGTGCAGTGTTGAGTCCCTTGGACACGTCCATGTAACACGAGACCTATTTCAATGAACATTGGTCAATTATTTTCCCCCTCAATATCAAATGGTCGACCCCTTCAGGCCTCATCAAAAGTTACATTTTTAACATATGCCATGATATGGGCTTTGACAAGGACCCTTAATTTCGAATTCTGTGAGTGAGTGAGTGAGTTGGGTTTAACGCCGCTTTTAACAGTATTACAGTAATATAGAAACATAATCGGGGCGAACCGGGATTCGAATCCACAATCATTGGTTTCTGGTGTGCCCAAGGGACGCAACTCTGTACAGTGAATCGCGGCGCCTTAGACGACTGGGCCACCCGTGCCCCCTCGAATTCTGTATTTAATCATATCGATGTAATCTGTGTGAAGTACCGACCCCATACTGTCAGGCACAAAGGCAGGTTATTGTCAGCAGATGGTGTACAGTTGTGGTCTTCAATTACTAATAAGAACAGTTAACACGGCTGTGATTTATGTTCAGTCTGTCATCCTGCACTTTTCACCTCCACAGATCATATCGGAAACCGATGAATAATTTATCATCACTCCACGGAATAACGAATAACATGTTTTATGAAGAATTCGCCTTTTCCCGAGATTTTTCATCTGTACTGTTTGTTGTTTTACGCCGCACTCAGCAATATTCCAGCTATATCACGGCGGTCTGTAAATAATCGAGTCTGGACCACACTATCCAGTGATTTATCATGAGCATCGATCCAAGCAATGAGATACGATGACATGTGTCTGCCAAGTCAGCGAGCCTGACCTCCCGATCCCGTTATTCGCCTCACTGTACTGACAGAGTTGTATTTGCGCCGTTTTTAGTAACACTATTATTTCAGCCTTATCACGATGGGGGACGAAATAAATGTAATGTAGGTCTTGAATTTATAGTCTTAGGCGTGACGAGCTAACCACTTAACCAGTGATGAAGATAAACTGATTCAATATTTACCTACATCAGAGATGTGACAATTCAAGGCATACTGTGTGTGCAATGAATAACCCTTGTTTCAACACAGCGTGTCCTAAACTGAACAGCATCGATTTGGGAGGATTTTCACACACATATAGCCATTGGTAAACCAACTCACTCCATAAGCTCGTATTTACAACATATTTATAGCACACTGTTTACAAAGTTCAAACCATCAACAATTATATCGTAATGGCGTTTCGTCTTACGTCAACACCGCCATAACAGAACATGTGACAGGATGGCCGCCATGTTTGACCGGAAGTGGCAGCGATCAGACACGGCAAGTATGTGTGGCAACACCTGAAGGCTGGACGACAAGAAGTGGGAATGATTTAAAGAACGCAAGACAGGTGTGCAACACAAACGGTCAAACAGATAGACAAACAGACGGACACAATGTAATCAATGACGAAGCCATCTTGTCAACAAAGGGAGCCACCAATAGCACAATTGTTAATTGTAGTTGAGCGTATTTGTTGACATGTGTCGCTTCGAGTCAACCTTATTTTAGTGGCGACACGTCTTCATATTCTTAGTTTATTTGGGATTTGACAACATTTGAATATTTTCTTATTTCTTATAAAATCAAGTGTTTGCCAGGAAATGAGAATCTAGTGATTCGGACAGAGTTGATTAAGGGCTGGGGTCCTTTATAACGATCTCTGTCAACAATGAGGTGTTGAAACAGCCACTCTAACGTCTGACAGATTTAGGTCGGCAAAACACTTCCTGCTTTGAATTGTACTTTATGTATAAGAAATACCGATATGTCGATACGCTATTCACAAAAAAATGAAAAACCAAAAGGATCCTAATCTGTACGAATATGATCAATAAATTAACGAATAAAAAAAACAATGATGATATTATTGCAATATTTGTACCACTAAAGCAAAAATACAGGATTATTATTGAAACCGTTACCTCACAATACAATGTGGAGTTCCTTGCATTATTCAACATGTCCTAACACGCCCGACCTGTTCTTGGTTGGTTGTTCGGGTCGTTAGGGAGTTAAGGGTAGTTTGTTTGTTTGTAATTTTACGCCGCACTCAGCAATATTCCAGCTATATCACGGCGATCTGTAAATCATCGAATCTGGACCAGACAATCCAGTGATGGACATCATGAGCATCGATCCACGCAAATGGGATCAATGACATGCAGTCAGCGAGCCTTACCATCCGATCCCTTTAGTCGCCTCTTAAGACAGGCAAAGTCGCCTTGAAATTACAGCAAACATGGGTTGCTAAAGACCTATTCTAACCCGCATCTGCACGGGTGAGTTAAGGATAGTAGCTCTGCCCGTTTCCAATAATACGCGATCTGAATGGACAGTCACACACACATCAAACAAGGTGTATTTTGGAAAAGGACGAGTAGTAAAGTTAATGGTTGTCCGTATTTTCTTCGTTATGTCTACTATTAAATGATGGCGTATGGCAGTATCGATGTACTTGTCATCGATTGGTCAGTGCTATCTTGCTTGCCTGCTTGTTTGATCTTTAAGCATTATTCGAGCTGTATGACGGTGGTCTATAAATAATCGAGTCTGGCCCAGATAATCCAGTGATTGACATCAAAAGCATCAATCCACACAATTGGGATACGATGACATGCATGAACCAAGTCAGCGCCAATTACAATGTATATTACATCAGCAGTTCAATCATGATTACATCCCCTGTACATATACCATAATTACGACAACCTTGATGTACCAGTAAATCAGAACAACTGGGACTGCAGCATTGATGCGGGAGCTCCAACATAGGTCGCCGCCAAATATATCAGTAAAACTGGGACGACACCATTGATGCGAGAGCTCTAATGTGGGTCAGTAGATGTAGGTGTACCTGGGGCTATATGGGCCTCAAAGAAAACGGATTGAATTGACCGAGACATTCATAAGTGGTACAGGCCAATACAG